CAAAGAGATTTCTATTTTTAGTAATCATGGAAACATCACTTATCAAAATGAAAATAAAAGATATACAAAATTAGGTATCTTAGGGCGATCTACTGGAGTGCCAAGCTCTATTGAAATCAGACCGAAACTGTAGAAGTAGTAACGCTTTGAAAAATTGTTTACAGATGGGTAGAGATAGACAAACAGCTAGACAGCAGACAGACAGGCGGACGGACAACAGACACCTCACTGTCGTATAAGCTCTTTTGGTCTCTCACCAGTAGAACTAAAGATTACATTCACACAACATGGGAATATAAATGGTTCTATTGTGCTTCTTTTGAAGATTAAAAAAAAATCTTTTATACATGTACGTATATCCATGCATAATCTTTGAGACACTATCATTGGGTATAATGGAGGACCATTATCTGCATATTATAATGCCTTTTATGTTTGCTAGAGCATTTCACACGGAAATATAATAAAATTGTGTTCAGAAACTTGTTTTATCTAAAAATTGTTAAAAGTATAGATTTTTGACGCATTTGATACTGCTCTTCACAAAGTAAACATTATCCTTGGTAATAAGGAAAAGTATAATTTTTGTTGTGTATTAAAAAAAATTAAAACTCTATTTAAAAAATTCAGAGTAGAAATGTGAGAAAGCAAGGAAAGTTCACCAGTATTGTCAGTCCGTGCTCAATTATGCGTGCAGAGTTTAACAGATTGAATAAACCCGGTAAAATTAAAGTTAACAACAATGTTAACAACAATAACAGGACTCATGACCTGTTTACAAAAACAGATATATGACGTGATGTAAAGAAAAATGTCATTGTCATTTTATTCTAAGATTATTGATGTATGTTCAATTCATTTAACGGGTCTTATATTTTTGGAATAACCAAATAAATCTAAAATATGAACAATGCAGCTGTGTCTAAGCCTCTTTAATTAAAAATGTTTAAAGTGGAATATATAAATGAATCCACCTTTTTAAAGAGTTATGTCCCTTGTTTGGCCCATGGCTGTCATCTTTGAAGAAATTTCAAAAAAACCCATTATGATAGTATTTGATAACGATTTGATTTATATTAATGTTTTTGACATTAGAATATTATTCTCATCTTTAATTTGGATTGCTTCAGGACTGAAGCTGCCTAAGCATGGAATTAGCAAAGTAAATTTTTGAAACAGTCTGCATTTATCACAGTACAAACAAAACTCTGCCCTGATTTCAAAAAGATCACAAAAAATATGGTTCAATTCACTTTTTAATTTTTAATCTATAATTGTTAATGGTACATGGATGCACATTTAGTGGACTGTACAATATCAGGGCTCAACATTAACCTTTAAAGATACTAGACCAGTCGGACTAGTACCTGGAAATACTATTAGACCTGACCTCAACTTCACTAGCCCTGACCAAATTTACGTGGATCATTGAATGCATCACTCGATAAAAATTTGCCATGAAGTAACATACTCAAATAGGAATATGCAAATAATAAAACCAAATTTATCGTTATCTAATTTTTTCGGGGGGCTTTTAAATATTATATGATATATAACGGACTAAAATTTCTTTTTAATTGAATTCAAGAAAAAGAGCAGGAGATGGGTTAAGTTGTATTTCCACTAAGTTTAGTTCTAGATTGGATAAATTGATATATACAAAATGCAACAGTTGATCTAACAGGAAAGATAACTTTTGGCACAGACAAGCCTTTTCAATACAATAAAAGGTGGCAAGAATAAAATATTGACAACTACATTAACAAATATTCAATCAATTTTTTACACTAAGCAAGCTATTCTTGTCCAATAATACACATTAAAGTGAGGAAAATGAAGATTGAGGGAGAGGAATAGTCAAAAAAAGAAAGAAGAGACTCAAAATAGTAGAGATTAAAGCAGATGAAAGAATAGAAGAAACCTTCCTTTCCCAAGTCCACCCTCAAATATACCTATTTCAAGAAAAAAATGATTGACTAATAAAGATGTCATAATTTATAACTCTACAATTCATATTATACTAAACCCAGCCAGTAGGCGCTTGTTTAAAATAGTTTGATAGTTCACAATGAAAACAAGCGCCTGTGCCAGGTCCATCTTATTTCAACATGTTTATTTACTAGGTCGCATACATTGCCGAAAATTTACATTATATCCATCTGGTATTAAGTAAATGATAAAAATATAAAAACATACTTGCAGACAACAATGAAAATTCTCTGCTCTGTTACCTGCTCTCACTATTGTCCAATCGGAACTCCTTGTATGTCTCGTCACTCAATAATAAAAAAAAATGAAATTTGTCATTGACGAGTGCGCCAGGCATGCGAGGAGTTCCGATTGCTCTCTTGACTGCTTTCTAAGACGCATGATGACGTAACATGTGACGTATGGAATTCCATTCTTGAACCTACATTTGGTTTCATAAAATTTATCCCCTCCTCCCCAGATAGATATCAAAGTTCTGGTTTCAACACGAAAAAGGAAGTCCAAATACAGACAATAGAATACCTTTCCTGTACCCGACAACGCTGCTGCAAATAGCATACCCCCCATCCTCAAAAAAAAAAAAAAAAAAAAAAAAAAAAAAAAAAAAATGAAATTTTGAAGAAAGGAAAGTTTACGGAGCTCCCCCCTCCCCCCATATTCGCTAGATCTCAGTCATTTTGAGATCTATTTATTCCAGAAAACGCATGAAAACAATCAAAGAGAAACTGTATGTCATTGGAAGTGCTATTTATCAGTGCCTTTGGGACATCCCTAAAGATGAGTAAGTTTTAAGTTTTCTGGTCATGAGTACAAAAACTGAAGACATGTGTAAAGTGTACGTGTAATGGAGAATAGTTTGAGCGATTGAAAATACTAAGAATCTGTTTAACATAGTTTCGTTATTTTTATTTGTCCTTTCGCATAATTCATTAAACAGCCCTCGTATTTTTAGCTACGTTCTACTTGCACTTCCTGTTACAAGAAGAGTCGAGTATGATAGCCTCCTGTGGCTTGTTTCAGTGTTTTCTTTTGAATGAATGTCCTCTAGTCCCTTGAACCTGTGGTGAATATGTTTGTGCTTTTAGGTTTTTTCGTCATATTTGTGTGAATAGTGTAGATTCTTGTTTATATTCATTCGGCTACGAAGTTTTTTAGAGTAAATTTGGATCCTGTCTTTGTTTCAGGTTTTATACTATACGACCAACCACAAAACATGTACCTTTCAAGTGATATCATAGGATTTATTGTACATAGTGATGTCTCATTCGTTGAGTTAGTCCCCTTGACTTAAAAAAAAAGAAATCAGTATGAATACTGGGTAGTCATATTGTTTGGATTAAATTTCTTTGCATGTCAGGACAAAAGATTGAGCAATACCTTTAAACACAGACGTTACTAAAGACAATTGATGGATTCATAAGGGGTTTCCAAGCAATACGATACTGAGATCATAAGAGACTAATAATTGTTAATATTTTTTTCTAATATAATATATTACTCAATGTCACAGTTTCCAACACCTCTAAAAATATTTAGATGTTCTTTTTCTCATGTATATGAAGATTGCAACATTTCTATATGAATATCTCACGATTTTTCACATAAAATACTGTCAAATTTGAATTCGCATGTATATCATGCAAAATTATGTTCACATGAAAATCGCATGTATTTCACATAAAAAATGCGTAATGACATTCACATAAAATTTAATATGGGTCTTTTTAAAATGATTTTTGCATAAATTTCACGCAAAAAGGAAAACGCATAAAAATCACGTGCAGCCACTTTTCCGTATGTAGTGACGCCGTCACCAATATTTGGGTCACTTACTCGTGGCGGGTGCACTTGAATGCATGTGATGTTATCATCAAACAGCACTTTAGATATATGAGTGCTATGAAAAAGTTACTCGTGACTTGTTGTAAAAACACTCATTACACTGAAGAACATTACCTTGATATGGTTATAGACTATTTGCCAACTGATCAAATTTTATTCATTTACATTGATAACATTTATTATGCCTCCATATTTTTTTTCGTCTAATGCACCTTTATATTATCAGGATAAATAAATAAATAAATAAAAATCGCTTGGTGTCTCGAATAGATAATTATTAAACATTACTTGTGATTTTGAAATTTTTACAGATATAATAGTAAAACATTGATCTTTCAAATATACACGATTTTTCACAATATTTTTCCCCGTTACAAATTGGCAAAGAAATGTAACGATTATTTTTTTTTTAATAAAGTTTAATCAATTCATATAAAAATTAATGCAACTTGTTTCAGGTATATTCATTTGCAATTTTATTTAACTGTTCTATTGGGAAAGTATGCTTCAAAAGATTTTTTTTCTTTCTCAAAATGCATAATAAATCTTTTCTTTGTTATATGAAGGGTTAAATACGGTATCAGAAAAAAAAGATCACTTTTGCAACAAAAATTGTTTCAGTTCTTGCTCTGTTGTCAATGTGTTTTAATGATTTTTTTTTTAAAATATAATTTAGATACTCTTTTGATTCATCATATAAAAGATAGTTATTTCACATTCATATTATAGCTGCATATCTTTAGCACAATAAAATTTAAGTTTTTTACGACGTCATTTATGATATCAGAAGGTTGAAAAAAAAATCCATTCAAAGAAACTTTTTAAAAGAAACTATCATAACTTAAATAGGAAATGAAATAAGTTATTTTTTAATGTTTTATAGAAAGCTTTATTTTAGACGAGATTCTCGTGATAAAATGTAAATGTAAGACATGCATTATGCATGAAGTTGTCATTTTATTTATTTTTTTCGTTAATTGGGACAAAAGTGTGATTAAAACATATATTTCTAAATAAGATGATGTTATTTGAGATATACAAAAAATCTTATAGAATTCTAAAACTCCCACATTTTATCGAGCATTTTGCAACAATGTATTCAATCTAATATATTCATCTAAAAATATATCTATATACAGCTTTAATACAACATTTAATAGTATACTTACATTGAACACTGTGATTACATTCGGTACACTCCTAGGCCTCAGAAAATTTGAAGTCCTTGACCATAGACTGCACTATAAAAAAAAATGAGAAAAAATTAAATTACCTTGAATATGAATATTTAGCCTCTTCTCAGAATTGATTATAATTTATTTATCCTACCGATATGTACTCCTTGCTTTTGTCTTTGTTTACTGTTCGGGAGGAGGAAGAAATTTTATTTTACTGAATAGTCACATGGTTAAAGAGTAATGGTAGTGTATGCTGACAAAAGTGGAAGCGACTGGTAGAAATAGCAGATTTAACCATGGAATACATTTTAAAAAAAATGTCGTTTTTAATATTTTGAAGCATTTGCAGTGTCTTTTTTTTGGAATGCATAAACCATCGAATCCTAGCACCTCCAAAATATATATTGTACATTGAAACAAACATGTTGATGTGTGCATTTCTTTACATTTACCCAAAGTGGTCCCACATTGACTGAAAGAATAATCTGTATTTAGTGAAAACTAAATACCTTACATAGGAATCTTTCCAGTTCACAGTGTAGCAAAATGAATATGATAAAACTTTTCAACAATAAACGGAGACATAAGCGTAGTCATGGACATCCTTATTACAATAAACTTTTGTACACGCTGTCTCCCTTGATTGACTACTGTCTTATGCAACTAAACAGATAGGTCTTCATCATATTTGCACAAAAATTTTATTCTGTCCCTTATGAAACTTTTAAACAGTTTTTTTTTTTTTGAAATGAACATCAAGGAAAGTTCATATTTGGATTCTTTTAACATCAGAATACAGGCTTGGATCTTGTTGTGGATGAAATATGAAGATTGCGAACAGTATTCAAGCCCAAAAGTCCAAATCAGAACCAGAGCAAACACTGACCAATATGCAAATAGGAAACAGATTTGTCAGATGTGTCAGACTCTGTAGTATCTTTTATTTCAAGCTCAGTGGGATATAAGGAGTCGACATATGAATGGAATTGGACTATTGTTAATTGATTTCCACCCTATTTCAAGCTGAGGTCCATACCTTGTATTTCTGAGAAATATGCGTCGACTTTTTCCTTCTAAACCTTTTAATTACAAAAAAAAAAAAAAAAAACAAAAAAAAAAAAAACAAAAAAAACAAAAAAACAAAAACAAAAACAAAAACAAAACAGGGCCTAGATATTGAACATCTGAAACATACTCCTCCGACGTGTGCATGTTCTTCTTAACATTACAACTATAATCCTGCTGGAAACATCAGTACTTGTGACGCAAATATAGTTGATAACTAGAGCGAGCTCGTTGCAAAGCAACGAATAGGTCTTCTGTTGGCGGAAGGAAGAAGTGACCTTGAGTCAATGTCATGCCACATTCTAAAGTTATACATGTAAGCAATCTTGTAAGGAGAAGCAACTTACAATATTTCGCTAGGAAAAAATGTAAAGGAATGTACGTGATCTTGAACATTTCAAATGACCTTGCGTCAAGCCATGACACACTCTCGTCATAAAATCCAATCTGTGTGTTACCGACTTGAAAAGTTCACAGTGACAACTGTTCTTTTAGTCCATGCATACAGTCAAAACATCTTATCCTGAGTGACCTTGAACTTGAGTCAAGGCCATGTCACACTCTGAATGATACGAGCAATGTTTCACCAGTACCAATACGGTAGCGAAATTACAGTTTCTCTGTCAGTGACCTTGACTCGAACAATTTACCTTGCATCAAGGTCATAACACACACTGGTTAAGAGCAATCCGAATCTGTGGGTTTCTGAATGGATAAGTTCAGCCATGTTTTTTCAGACCATACAAGAGTCGGAATAATTTGTTAGGTTCAACACAATGATTTAAAAATTCATTGAGAATGCTTTATGTCCAGTTTGGATAAGTAGTAAAACGTGGAGATCGGTCCTTTGGATGAGGCCGTATAAGGTCTCGTGTCGGGGTAAGTGCTAGCATGAAAAGGATCGCTCATGATATAAATTTTCAATTTACCGGATGGCACTAAATACAAAATTTACAACATGACATATATGTAAATTTGGTATTTACTGCCAACCGGTAAGTTCAAAATTTACAAAATGACAGATCCATGGCACTTGATTCTACCTCTGATTTTAAAAGGTTCGTGTTTGCAATACTCCTGATTTGTATTGTTTGAATGGTCTTTTATGCTTGAATGCTGCACAGGTGCTTGTGGATAGGACCCCCCCCCCCCCCAATATACACCCTGGGTCCAAGAATATTTTTATTCGTCTTTTTTCCATAAATTAATCTTCTAGTATACATTTATAATGTATTCCATATGAAAAAAAAAAAACAAAAACAAAAAAAACGTAGAATTAACGTTTTATTAAAAAATCATACCCGCAGTATTATGAAATAGAAAAGGTACGGTAAGTCACTTCAATTTGTTAACACTGGACCCCTCTTGGATATCGGGCCTGAAATATCATATACATGTACCTTCTACATTTCACAAAAATATGTTATTATATCTTGTTTTGGTAGATATTTTTTTTGTTTTTAATTGTGCTATTTAATTGCCTATGCATTCCACAATAAACCGAGTATTCATCGTCAAACGTAAAAAAAATGTAAGATTTGGAACTGTCAAAGTAGAAATTATACGGAAGTGATGCAGATATGGCAGCTAGCGGGTAACTCTCGAGGAGTTCCGAGTGTTACAGAATTAAGGGAAAAGCCAGAGGTTTACGAAAAAGTTTGGGAAAATTTTGATAAAGAAGTCGAAATCGATTCATTAGAATTTAAATTTTGCTGCAGATTTTCCAGATGAGTTAGGGTAATCATCAATATTCTTTTTAAAGGATATTATCACTCAAACCAAATAGCGTTTTAAAAACGCTTTCTAACTGCACTTAACCAGTTTGTACAATTATCCTGTTGTTCTTCATACTCACATAACAATTGTTTATAACATGTCTGCAGAAGGCAATTATTTGTATTGAGAAAATTACACCAATATTTCAGAATCCGAAGTTTTCTTTGAACAAACATTGGGCATCTACCAAATTCGAAATAAACCATTAAGTTATTTGTAGATTTTCGAAGCGACATAATTTTCTTCTAAAAGTTGATATGTACTTGCTTCACATGTGGGGCTTTATGAAATCCCCTCACATCCATAATGAAGAACAGAACCTACATATGTATCAGATAAAGAGAGTGTAGTCTCCACATTTAGATTATTCTCTTTCACTCTTTTCCACAAAGAAAAAGTACATTTTTTCTTAACATTTCACCTGTGGAATGCTGATCATTCTCTCCGTATTCCATCCCTTACTGCTCAGAGGCCGTAAGTACCATGTACATTATAAAATGTATAAATTTTCAGCCACAAACTTCGACGCTCAATTGACCACTCCAATGAACAAATTCATTCGTTACTTTTTAAGTTTTAGAAATAAAATAAAAGACCTTAAAAAGTTTATAAAATAGGAAAGCTTAGTCACGGATATCGCAAATGTCGCGTATGATTATTGGTTTACATTAAAAAAAAGGTTGTGGATTTCTCTCAGAATTCAACACCAGCTCTCACCTATAAGTATACGTACCTGAACAAACCAACCGATTGACATTTTCGGCTCTAAAGAAAAACAATGTATTCTTTAAAGGGGGGGGGGGGGAGGTGTACGTATCGTGATGAGAGGAAATTTGATCACCTGTCAGTCCATTAAACATGAAAAATTATTTTGGAATATTTGTATACAACTGCGCGGCTTTTTCTTAGAACCAAATTAGTATTTGTTAGAAAAATTAAATAATTATTTAGATGTTTAAGATTTGTTACATATTTGTAAGAACAACTTTATTTACCAAACAAAGGATCATTCTCTATAAGGCCGTTTTGCGGCCTACAATGACTTCAAATTTTCAAAAAGTATTTTCCCCCTTAAAAACTACATGAATCAGTAGGCTAATGTTCCAATTTCATGATAAATGTTGATTGGTTAATGATACAATAGTATTTGTTATGATATAGGGTCACAAAGTTAGGTACTATCTGTCCGTATTAGCATTAGGGTAATGGGAAAACTCAAGAGGGTGGGTGTGTTAGGTAACTCCTACACATGTCATAACCACCTTTAACCAACACCAAAATTTGCATGTAAACTTCTTATAAACATAAAAAGTGACTACCAAATTATGAACTTGGTTAAAGGTGGTTATGACATGTAAATAAAAACTTTTCGCTTCATTTTTACGATAATTGTAGGAAAAGCTAACTACTCACAATGAAGGATATCAGCTTATGTAGACTATTTCTTATTATAAACTTTCACTTACAGTACATGTTTCTTTTGATTTAATAAGAATTAATATATATCAAGCATATTTAGTCAAAAAAGGTGAACTTTTTACTTAAAAAATCTAAAATTAAAGGACTGAAAAGACTGGATGTTATGAAATTACACGTGAAGACAATTCTCATTGAATTGTCTGCTAGAAATTAAAAAAAAATAATAATTATAGACTATAAGGCGTGAATGCAAGTTATTTATTATAATTATTATTATTTATAATGATAGTTTAGTTTATCTATGCTACTTCTTTGTATTTGTATTTCCTTAGGAGTCCTGCATATCTGTTAGTTCTAGAAATGATAAAAGCTATTTTTGTTGTAGCGGGAAGATGCATTTGCTATTAGTGCTATAAACTTTTCTATGGGTACACATGTAACTTTTATAGATAGAAAATTACTGATGGGATGGTTTCATAATGGGACTTCTCGCCTCGACCTTTTAGAAGGACACTTTTCCGTATGAGGGACATAGGATCCATGTATTTTGTTAACTGGGTATTGAGACGACTCAATCTATTCATCACACTTCTTTGGTAGCATCAATATAAGTTACGAGAACAGCAGTTCTGTCTTAGAAAATAAAATGCCAAGGAGGAAAGGGGTTCCTAAATGTCACAGGTGAATGATAATTGAATGTTGCCTTACGTCATTTTAGAATTTTCTACCCAGATAAAGAGATTATCCACTTAAGGTGAAGTGTCACAATTTTGATTTATGCATGGTTTTATTATTGACCAACACCTAC